TTTGTTTTTTTCCTACCAGTGACCTAGAAAGAAATATCAGGCATCTTACGAGATTTCAAAAGCAAAAGCATTGCTGAATAAAAGTGGCTGGACCGCAGACACATCTGGCTGTTCCGGCTCACTAATGTTAACACGTAATGCAGGGAACTTAAATGAGACTTTTACAACAACCATTGTCTATTGCGGACCTCCTAAAGACAGCCTGACGGGGCCGACTTCAGTGGGGCAGAAGTTTAGGGTTAACGATGCATGATCTGACAGCAGGGGACAGGCAGTTGGTCGTTACAGTGCCTTTTTAAAAACATACTTAATCATAAGAGTGCCAGAGTTCTCACAATTTTACATGTGCTCGTGTTATGTCGATGATATTTAAAGCCGTCATAGGAAGTATTTAAGTATGTATAAAAAAAGGATTATGCAGTGAATATATGATGATAATGAAGCTAAAAATAGAGAAAAAATAACAAAAAGGAAAACAATGACGTTATAATGATGCGGTGTGCACATATCTTCAAACATTTATGAACATACATGAGAATATGTCATACACAGCCTCACTGACAAATTAAGCAATGAAACTAAAAGTAGGACATGTATTTCTGCACAAACCCAGAAAATGTGCAACATATTGTTTCATATTTCATCATCCTAGATTTGTGCATCTTTAAGAATATTATTGGTTTATTTGTGGTTGTCACTTTTTATTCATTGGCTGCTGAAAATATTAGCGCTTTACAACCTTCTTTTTAGGAAACAGGGTTTTCGTGACTCAGAAGGGCATTTAATGTGATGTATCACAGGCCAGTTATCATCAAGACATCAGTAAAGTTGCCTCTAGGTGGCAGCGTCACCTTTGTGTGAGGACAAGTCAGCCCTATGGCACTTTGATTCAAAAAGCAGACAAGGAACAAAATCAGCAGCTAACTGGTTGTCATCAGAATGAAGTGGTGACGGAAAACAGATGAAGAATTTACTGCAGCATTTACTAACAGCATGCACACACACGCACGCACGCACGCACACACACACGCGCACGCAC